CCCTAAAAGATATGTTTATGGTGTTACAAATTTGAGTAAAAATCCATTACCTGGTAGGTTTATAAAATGCTAAGCAACTTTAATAATACACCAACATGAATTAACTCTAGTACCGTCCAAACCTTTGGCCTTTCAAGGAATGTCCTAAAGCCAAGTAAGGGCCTCACAATTAAAGAAGTCATTGCATACAATAGGGTTTTTGGAAAGCAACCTCAACTTGTTGCAATCAAATAGTTACAGCTGCTCCAGAACTAAAAGAGCAAAATGACACGAAGACTCTATATCTACACTGAATTAAAATTTCATGAAAATGCAAGTAAATCTATCATTGAAATAACTTGTACAAAACAGAAGTAAGCTGAACTTTTCACATACAACATAGTGCAATTTCATGTAAACTATTAAGTAATGTTAGTGGAGAAAACACGCACGACTCTCTAATACAAGGAACACAAACTATCCTATTTGAAAACAGAAACATGATCGCCAATGGTAGTTAAGCGATCCAGGTTAGAATGAAATGAATGAAAAAATCCTTCCAGATACATTGAAAGGGCCTTGCTATTCCTTCGTACATCATGCCGTCCACCGAAAAGGTTAATATTCCTGTCCTTCCCTTTCACTGATAACTTTATTCTTTGTGAGTGGTTCTTTTGTTATGTTATTAGAGAGTGATAAGTTGGATGTTCAAATAAACCTGAGCAACTCTTGGCAATTAGAAGGCTATAAGTGGACACAGTAGCCACTTGTAACATTGTTACATGTATTTTAAGTGGACTTACGTTTTGCAATTTTCATGACTACACACAGATTGTGAAATTAAATACCTGCCAGTAAAAAACTAAAAATTTACCAAAACATCAACTTAGTATACACAACATTGATAACATTCTCTCTTTCTCTCAATTACACAGTCAACCTGTTTCAAGTTTTGGTTCTGTTCAATATTGTAAAATGTGGCTTCTACTAAAAAATCTGTGGCATTGATTCAGACACTGCAGTACCTGTTTGTAAACTCAGATCAGCATTTGGTAAATTTTAGGAAAATTTTATTCTTTTCAGTATGATTTTTTTGCCAAACTGCAAAGTTTAAGTCACAGAAAATTTGTCTCTCATTTTTGTGAAATTACATTCCCACAAAATATGAGAACAATTTATTATAATTTTATTTCCATGCTGACCTGATTTTGAAACAAATTACCTGAATAGTCCCTGAATTGCAATAATATGACCTATGTTAACTTGATGTTGATTCCACAGAGAAAGTATTCCTTGCCTCTTGGAAAAATTCTACAACATATTTCTAACTAGTAGAACTTATAAATTTCAGTTTTAAAATTCTCAACTTGCACATTCTTCACATTCTTGTTTGTTTTTCATGGATAGCCTAACAAGAAGAGTGGCATCTAATAAATAAGTCAACTCACATGTACATGTATAAAAAATTTCAAATGCACAGTAAACTAAAATTTTGCTTTAAAGTAATAAGATTCAAAATCAGTATAGTAACTGTTAATTGTATGAATGCAAGTACAATCAGGGATTTACACTACAATTACATTTGCCTTTCAGGAATATCCTAAGTAGTGTATATTTTTATTTGCTTGAGCTTTCACACAATTACTCATACATTATATGTCTGAGAAAATTACGAAAACAACTTAATTTGAACTGCAATGCACATTAAAAACTAATGATATATTGGCCTGCTATCTGCCAATCGCAATTTAGTAATTTTCTCAGTCATAATAACCAAAACCACAATCCTAAAATGTGGAATTGGCAGAACAGACACAAGCAGCAAGGAAGAGTTACTTTTCTTGTCTGGCCTGAAAAGCGTATACTGAAGAACCTATGCATGTGGATGAAATAATGACTTTCCCAATGATGATGATGACGAAAATGACAATGACCACAACGACAACAACAGAGATGGTGGTGGTGATGATTTTGACAATGATATTGCAATCCACAGCTGACAGTTAGACCGTTGGCTTTTCTTCTAGGTTTTCAAACTTTTTCTTTTCCATGGCTGCAAAACAGTCTGCTTCTTTCTTTTCTTTTTTCTTGTTTCTTTCCTCATACAACATTCTTACAAAAAAAAAAACAGAAATCAAAAATAATGTTAACTACACTTGGTTATGTACTACTTAATGCTTGCTACAGTATGACTGCAACAAAAATTTAAGAATGATAATAAACAATGACATTAAAAGAATTACAAGGAAGGTGCTTAATTTAGTACTATAGACCCAGAAAAACTAGGAAATTCCAGGGATACCCAGATTTTGACTAGTATCCCATTGAGAGATGGGTATATGCTTTTTTGAAGAGGCCATGAGTTGCATGTAACTATTCCTGCGATTTAGTAAACAATGTCCAAGATTAACTGTACATTGTATGTTATTGATCATGTCATTCTCAAGGAAAAGAAGAATGAATGACACAACGTATTGCCTTAAAGTATGTGGGTAAAGGAAAAAATATATTAGAAAATATACAGGAATCTACAGTACTTCCTTTCCAGTTCTGTTACTGGTATCTAGACGTCTGCATGACAAGTGTCCTCTAGTGTAGCAAATCAACACACCTGTGGTTAATTATTCTCTCAACAATGTCAGCAGTTGTAATTGATGAGCCACTGGAGATGGCCTTGAAAATTCCTCTTTCTCTTGGAATTGAAAATGGATCTGTACCATCTTCATCCATCATAACATTAGTATTACCATGAACAACTATATCCACCTAAATAAGCAACACAGTACAAATATTAAACATACACTTCAAATATTTTTCCAGACATGTGGGTCCCTAAGCTCTCTGGAGCATTGACCCTGGTTGTTTAGGAGTGGATAACTATACAGTGGATAAATCTGCATCCAGTATGTTAGTGTCAAAGAATATAAGGCAGCATAGGAGAAGGTGCTACACCCGGTGGAGAGACACTGATTCTAAACTAGCTGGAGTCCATGGCAAGTCAGACAGGGCACAATTGCCAGACGTCCTCTCTCTTTTGGTGACCTAACACTGTGTTTGATGATGATCATGACCATGATGATGACGGTGGTGATAATGATGATGATGAGGTAAGTGTTATCAAAACTATGCTATCCGCTGAATCATGATCTATCTCGTGGATAGCATTATACACCCTTGAACAACTAGCCTTCAAGTTTCTGCTTTAGAGCCCCAGGTTTGAAATACTCTATCTCCTTATGACTTTTCTAAAATGGGAACATTATAAACAGTAGGAAAAAAAGAAAGTTCTTACCTTGAATTGTTCCAACAGTTCATTGGTGACTTTATAAGGTGCACCAATGATAACCTGATCAACATGACGACATGCCAGGACACTCAGTACTCTTTGATGTAGACTCATGATGGGATAGTTACTCCCCTTGTAGCGGTTAACGACCTGATCAGTGTGAAGGCCAACTATCAGGTAGTTTCCTTCACTCTTGGCTGCCTCAAGGAAATCCAGCAAACCGACATGAAAGAGATCAAATGCACCTGCTGCATAAACGATTTTGTCTCCAGGGTTAGGCTCCCTGCCATCTGAGAACTGGACGATCCTCTGTGAAGTGGGCAGAAAATGGGATACACAAGTCCAGGGGCTCTTGGCAGATGGATCAGAACTGGCCCTACTGACCTGACCAGGGTCCAAATTTCCTATGGGTGATGGTGCCCTGTCAAAGTGCTCCTTGGTCATCAAAAGCATTCTTCCCACAAGGTTTGTCGTTGATACCCCTGCAGTTCTTTTACACTCCTTGTATCGGCCCGCAGACTTCACTTCCTCGTACGTATCTTTTCCATCTGCACTCAGAGTGATGTCGTCTCCATGAACACAAAAGTCACAGTTGTACTTGTCAAGAGTCTCGATGGTTGTGACATATGGAGCATTCATAACGACTTCATCGACCCATTTGATCGCTTTAACCATCTTGTACCTTTCTTCCTCGTTAAACACCGGTGGACCCTTGTGTTGAGTGATTTCTGCATCGGAGTGAACGCCTACGTAAAGGACGTCGCCCATTGCTTTGGCTTGTCGTAGAGCGTTTGCGTGACCAAAGTGTACCATATCGAAACAACCATCGGTCCAAACGCGGATCTGTCTACGACGTTTTTCACCACGATGATTAAAATCGTTGTTTTCCATCTTGGTGAGAGATTTATTTCAAGAATACCCTTAAAGTTGGCAAAAATTGCGCAAACTTTCTGTTCAATTGAATCAATTCAATCAGCAGGGCGACGTGTCGTCCAGCCTCATTTCCAGGCTTCTCCGGGCTTCTTTTCTCTTCAAAGGGATCTTTTTTCAGTGAAAACGCAAAGGAGTTGGGAACCTAGCGCGCAAGCACCATTTCACATAATTTTTTAAACGAACTGAAACAGGGCATGTAACCGTGGCACCAACACTGAGATAGGCTCGATTTCCGCGAATTTCCGCCGTTTTCTCGAGTCCGGTCTACGTTCCTCGGGGCCGTTCCTCGAGTTCGGGGGGAGGAGCGCGGGCTCCTTTCCCGAACAGCGGCTGGTAATTGAGCCTAACACTGAGACTCACACCGACACTCACACCACCCTACCTCACCCTGACCCCACCCTGAAAGAAATCTCCCAAAGAGGTTGCTCAACGGGAAAAATTAACGCCCGGGCGGAGTGTGGGGGTGTCACAGTGATATGTGTATCCCCGTGATATGTGTATCCCCGCACACATATCACTAGTGATATGTGTATCCCCTCCAAAATGGCGACCAGTGAT